ATATGTTCCATAGATTATCCCATATATATGTTCCAAACCACCGTCACCAGATAGCCATGAAGCTCCCATCCCATCATCCCCTGCAGCAAAGCGCCAGCGATACTTGAGACCCTGCGAGATCTCGAGATCTGGACATCGCTGGTACCAGCATTCTGCATCTGGCAGCTGAAAATCCAACTGGGCCCCTGGGAAACTGGGATGTGTTAGAAATTTGAATGGAAACCATGATGATCATCGGTTTATTGGGGTATACCTCATTTTCAAACCCGACTGTTGGTTACCTAGTCAAAACATGTCAAAACGATTCAAGCCGCTCGAAACTTTGGTTCTTAAATACCAAAATAGCTGGTAGTTGTGGATGTCTATCCCCCAATCAACCAATGGTCCTTGCAACCAGCGGTGCTTCCACATCTCTTAGAACCCTTGGTCGCCCTAGCATCATGTATTGGGTATACTCCCTCACATCACATTCACAATACCTGTGCTTGTGAGAGACTCATCATGATGAACAAAACTGCCATTCCGAGAATCAAAATCCTTTTTTCATGGACCCCCGAAGAATCCGAACAATCCGTCTGGAAGATTTTGTTCTTGAAATCGGCTTGTCTTGGGCCGTCTTGGATTCAAGGGCGCAACCGGCTTTTGAATCCATTCCTACGCTCCCACCTCGCCACTGTTCAGCAATGGCCAGCGAATTGATGGCCTCGCATGGATTTGTGCTCCAGTGGATTACCGATGTGGATTTTTTTTCCGCACCAAGCATCCAATTTCACAGTCACTCCACCTGTTCCACCTGTGATAGACTATTGCTCAATCACCAGTTCGGACTGGTAAGCTTATCACAGCCTTCTTGAATTGCATCATTATTGTTGATATCATCTCATATCCAAGCCCATTTTTTTTGGGCATAAACTGGCATAAATGACGATCACTGAGGAATGGCTGGGGAAGCCCACCTCGATAAAGATCTTGGGCGCCAACGAGATGCCAACCTCGGTGGGAAAGGGTTTTCTTTAAGGGTTTGTAGATGGTTGGGTTCCCCGCAATCTGAATACACTTGTTATGTTTATGTCGATCTATGTTGATCTATGTTGATCTATGTTGATGTATTTTGGTTGGGAACATTAGAACACCTGTTGTATGTTGTTGTAATTTCTATTGGACCATGAAATTCGTAGTACCAATATCAGCCACGTTCATGCCATCAGCTTGGGGGATGATCAAGATTTTATATAGTGCTGGAGTAAGCCCATAAAACTGAGGATGTGGTTGACATAAAATGACATAAATGGATATATGATATAGTGACAAGTGCTGAGTGGAGATTCATTTTTATCGGATCATTTTTTTCGTGAAGTTGGAGTTGGGGATAGATGCACCCATTTTGGAAATGTCCCAGATGCCCATCACCTGCCAAGCTGCTTCCTGAAGATGTTTGAACCACTCATCAGCGGCCTTGAAATTTTGCGTCCTCCGAAGGGACTAAGCTGGGGAACGGCGAACTTTGGACAGTTCTTCTACGTTCGATTGTTGGTTGCTGTTGGTTGCTGTGGATACCTGAAGTGAATACAAATGGCAAACCAGAAGGATTGCAAACCAGTGGAATTTGGTGTTTTTGCAACAAAGAGGACACATCTCAGACACCGAGGAATGTTGAAACCCACTCAACATGACCTGATCTCAAGGAGTGTCCGCATTTTTTTCCTCAGATCCAAAGCTGGCAGCGTCAATTTTTTTTGGGGAATCCTTGGGATTTTGCCCCGGATGAAAACGTTGACTCACTGCTGTGTTGCGTTTCTTGGGCCAAAAGTTCAAAGTATCCGCAGGTAATATGACAACTTAGTCACAGAATAATTCAAAATATGTTCACCAGCATTTACCACATCTTTTTCCTGGTGACATCAATTTGGCTGGCGAAACAACCTGTCTTGTTGCACCTATTCCAACTTTTGCTGATCAAATTGATGCGGAACTACACAGTTTGGTTCTATCACCCTGTTACGTATCTGACATCTCTATTTTAGGTTCAATTCTCCAAGACATGGTCAATTCCTAAAATACTGTAGGTTTTGTAAAAACATCTATGTACATCAAAAAACACGTAGCATGTCATGTATAATGTATAGATACGATGATCTTGGAGCAGATAGAATATGAATAAAGTCGAATGGGACATTGTTTGAAAAAAACACATATTCTCCTTCAGGATGATATATAATATAACATACAGCTAGTCTACTTGTTTAAACTGCGGGTCTATGTCCGCTTGGCGCTCACGCGTGGCACAGGACTGGCCTCGTTGCGGAACAACGACCGCGGGAAGGCTGGGGAGATCCCTACGATGTTTGGATCTAATGGTTGTGGATTTATCGTGGATAATGTATGGATAAATATATATATATACATATCCTACATTATCACTTTGGGATTTTTGGATAAATTTTGGATATCCATTAAGATCAATACATGTATGTATATTGTATATATTATGGACTATATTTGGGGATAATTTAATACCGATAATATGAGGGATATAATGGTGGGATCCCTATATACTGTAATGCTCATAATGTATTATGGATAGTCATTATTACTTACTATAGATTACGGATATCAGACTCTACTATATACTACGCATTGCTTATAATAGTGTAATATCCCCTGATACCCCCATAATAATGGGGCATAATGGGAGAATGCATCACATTATATATGTATATATCCATATATTAATTCAAAGGGAATTGTGTAGGAAAAATCTCAATTGGAATTAATCCACATATATTCTTGGTGGTTTCCAATACCACCAATGGATGTTTGGGATGTTTGGTTTCGCAGAAGCCAATCGCTCCCAGTCCGCTATTGGTGAACCATTGGGGGATTCCATCAGCCAAACTGAAAAATCGTTGACACAACACGAATCTGCCGAATCTGCCGAAAAAACAGCAGTAAATGGTATATTTAAAAAAAAACAAGCAAAGAAAACCATGTACACATGGAATATTTGCATTTCATTCATATCAATGGCCACTTCAGGTACCTAAACTGGAGGTACTGTACCACATAAAGCCATATTTTGGGAGTTTATCCCCCTTACATAGCCCTTACATAGACCTGATATATGGTTCCTGAAATGGCCACGCTTCATATCTGAATACTACTTGAATCTAGGTACTCAGAAAAAAATGTTTATGTATACATCAATATCATAGAATCATACATGGATATATTATCACCAGAAGAGTCAAGGCATGAACATGGCAAGGCCTCCTATGGCCACCTCAAGCTGCCTTTTTTGACCAGCTGCATTTCGCGCCAGGGGACTGCGAGACACACTCGCCGCATATGCATCATCTAACTACGTGGTCTACACCAAGCCTCGCAGCATTTCTGTCCTTAAACATGTGGGGAATGAGATATTACGATGGAAAGTAACGAACAATATGGGATATTGATCACAAACTATGGTATAATTGCCCACGTTACCGCCGGGTTTAATGAGGGAATATGATGATCAAAGGAAGGATTTGGATGGGCTTGGGCTATACACCATGGACAGATCTACATGAAAGATGCAGTGGGTATGTATGTATGTATGTACGTACGTACGTACGTACGTACGTACGTAGGTAGGTAGGTAGGTATGTATTGTCTCCCGGCAGTGTCAGAAAGTATTCTCCTGCTACTCGGTGTAATCTCAAGCCACACTCACATTCAACCAGGACTGGACATATAACATGGTTCAGCCCACTTCGCAAGTGCCCCTGGGTTTCTGAAGGCAATAAAAAGAGTTCTTCTAATCAGAAGTAAAAATACAACCTAACGAATTTTGACAGTCATCATCCTCACCAAGCATGAACCTTCAAGAAAAAAGCTTCAACCATGAGATATTTTCTGATGCTTTTCCCAAGAGATAGGCATACTGCACACTTTGACCCGTGACAGGTGCAGACCTGTTGATTCAAGTTCACAGCTAAGGGGGATGTACAGAGCTGCTGTGCGCAGCTTTCTCCAACTGACCCGTTCGCAAAACTGAGCAGTGTCAGCAATATATCGTTCGGAAACAATGGTGATAATTGTGAAAACGAAGCAATAATCACCCCACCCTGAAATATTTCTATCACACACATACAGCTGAATTCCTGGTTTAGTGTTGCATCTGTTCATTTTGGGGTCCAACGTAGTCATGCATGTCAATGCACAATGTCAATGTGGACTTGATTGGAGGGATGTCATTAAAATCATTAGCAACCTACCCTCTGGTAATTTAACATAGCTATTGAAAATCACCATTTTCAATGGGTAAATCCACTATAAATGGCAATTTTCAATAGCTATGTAACAAATTACCAAAGGGTAAGGAACGTACCGATCAACTAAGGGCTCAAATCACGACAGAAACGATTCACCGAGGCCAGTTTGACTTCCCATTTCCAAAAGCCCTTTGACACAGCTCAGCAGAATCAAGTGATTCATGGTCTGTGGGTCAAATTAACCTAGATTCTTCAGCACTTTGGCCCTATGATGATGGACTAAGACAATGACAAACCATCTATCATCACTGCGAATGTGAGGCAATCTTCAAAAATAATAAGAACACATGGACATGCGGGGGGATTAATCATCCATAAGTTCCGAAGAAAACTGTTCTGTATGTTCTATTCACTTCGGGGATGCTGTGCAGGGGACAAAAGATGTTCCATGGTTTCCAAGTCTTTGAGGCGATTTGGCCGCAAACATCATTGTTAAGCAAGGCAGGCACCGCTGCTTTTGAAGCAACCATTTTCACTGGCTGCCGTTGCATGCGACCTGCTTCCAGAAAGAATCCAGCTGCAAATTCTTGAAAAACTTGCTGGCTGCAGATAGCATGAAAGCGTGGGCCCGATGCTCTGCACCGTCACTGCTCTTCAGCACGTCACAAAGATATACAACGATGGTCTTCCATCCAGAATTCTCGAAACTGCTTCACGATGCCAACAGGCGCTGGAGCGCTGCAAAGCTCACATCTGGTGGGCCTGCTGCGACGTCTGTGAGTTGAGATGGTTGATGGAACAACAACTAGAGCATATACTTAAAACAATCTTAAAACTATAGTAATCACCCCCAAAAAAGGATTTCACTTCTCTATCTTTGTGGGGACTGGTATATACGGGGTCAAGGGGAAATATCAAGTACCAATCCCCAAGCTGGCCAGCAAGATATGTTTTGTCCCCGAAATGGAGAACCTCTAACATATCATAAAATTGATTGGTTGATCATCACTTTCCTCCTTCAAAATGCCGGTTTGAGGTATAATTAACCATTTTTTTTTGGATCAATCTGACCTGGATGGCATGCCAAGACATAAGACCCACGCTATGTCTATGGATCAAAGTCCTGGTACCTTGTTGAACATGAATCTACATAACTTGGTACACGAATGCTCATCCGGTTCATCCCAAATATATGTATCATATGGTAGATCTTGACCCATCCACACATTAGCTATGCTGGCCATCGAACATTTGTAACATGGTGCCTTCTTGGGATTGCTTCTAGCATTTTACATTGATCATTGCTGGGTTGCCCGTAATATTGCCAGCTCATCGAAGAAGGGTCATTTCTTCACCGTCCGTCACTTCAGTCAATTCATACTAAGGGGGACGGATGTAGCCGCATCCAACGGATGTTGCCTAATTACAAAAGAACTGGCTGAAGCAGCTCAGCTTGGATCCGCAAAACAGGGATATGCTATTCCTAATTCCAGGAATATCCAACCTCTGGCCGACAAAACTGCATACAAATTGAGAGTATCAGATATTACGACGAGGGATCGCTTCTCTTGGGCATAACTACCATTCCAAGGTTGGCAGGTCGTAATGCTGGATATTTCCCTTGAGGTCTGCTTTGGTGGGACAGGACATACATGAAGCCCTGGGCACAGGCATTCTATTGCGATTGGATTCGTTGATATTCCTCAAGTTGTAAAACCACCAAATTCAAATTAGTGTGCCAAGATCATTTACGGCCTGAAAATCGCAAACCTTTGACGTCCAGCTATTCCAACAAAAGTCGGTCTACCGATCGGGGGCGGTCTGACCCCCCTGCTTGGCAAATCATTTGCACCACCAACCAAGTTGCATATAAGTTTTACAATGGTTCATTGGTTAATTCTTGCAGTGTCTAATTCTTATAGATTTCGGTTTACATCGACCAAATTTAATATTTTTCCAGGTTCGCCAACATCACAGATACAAGGGGGAAAAGCTGGATAAAGAGATAAAACTGACTTGTGTCCCCCCTTGTGGTTATCATTTACCTATAAACTATATACTGTAGTCATTTATAAGTATTTACCCATCATTTACCTATAATAATGGATTGGAGCAATCCTGATTTCTTTTGGAAAAACTTCTCAAAATTCTTGCATTCCCAGCGGCCTGAGGGAGGGACAAACAACCTGGCGCTTGGGGGGTGATGTTTGGAAGTACCAGATGCCGAATGCCTGCAGAAATCACATATATGATTTGGATCTGGATATATGAATCATTAAAATCTACAGTTAATTACAATTAACCTCAAAAAAGGGCATGTGAAAGCAACGAAAGTCTTTTAGAAATGGCGAACCCCCAAATTTGTGCTAACCCAACTCCCACGACAATATTCAACTGGGATCCTAGAAATGTCTACATGGGTATGTGCAGCATGTTCGGAAATTAAACATTCTAACAGAAAATCACCATTCCCTGTCAGAGAGAATACACAGCGAAATCATCAGGGGATGTGTGCTGAAATTTGCAAGATTGCAGAAGAGGGACATCAACAAACGCATGAAAATCACTACAACCATCACAACCATCTACAATCGTTAGGCGTTTCAACCTAGCTGAAAAAAACCGTTGGGCGATTCGGGGGCCCATTGTCCTTGAATTAGATATAGAAAACAACAAGCACTCAACTCCCATGATACCATTTTTGAAATCCCATGAAATCCCTATTGTTGATGGTTACCCTCCAGTTAACTAACATAGATATGGACAATCATCATGTTGGATAAGTAAATCAACTACAAATTCCCCATTTTTCCATAGCAACCCTGTATGTTAGTTTAGCAGAGGGTAAATCCCATGTACCCTCTGGTAATTTAACATAGCTATGGAAAATGGACCATTCATAGATGATTTGTGATTCGCTTTACCTATTAATAGCATGGTGATTTTCCATGGCTATATATGCTGATATACGTATTAAACATGGTGATTTTCCATTGTTTTTTTGACATAACCAGAGGATATCTCAATATAACCCCTATTGAACACTATTAACCACTATTAACCACTATTAATATACCATTTACCACTGCGCAAAGGGCGCGTCGCAGCGCCTGGCGTGCGACAGATGGGGCATCGCGCTGCAGGATCCACGCGGAGCCATTTATCGATGCAGCGCTGGTGAAAGACATGCCTAAGGGCACCCCAAAAGGCGTTTTTGAAAAGTGGGGTAATGAGCACTTTAGATATATTAATATATCTTTATTACCCCACTTTATATGATATTTATTACCCCAATATATCAATATGAGGTCTTTAGATAGTTGATCATGTTGATCATGTTGGACCTGGATAAAGATATATTAATACTGAATAAGGTTGGATAGATAATAGATAAGATTGGATAATATTGGATAATGATAACCGCCATGGTACCACATTGGATGATAGTGGATGAATATAGATGGTCCAACAAACCTTTCGAATGGATCATCTACTCTCATCATTGGATGATAAGGATATCGGGGTAAATTATGTTGGGTAATAGGAACAATCAATGGATAAGAGCAATAATAATAATAAGATATTGATATCATCATTGATATCAAATTGTCTATCACTATCTATGGGTAATACTAATATTGGATGACAATGGATAGTTCAATGGGTAATTGGTGGGGGAATGGATGATTTTTGATGATAGATGAGAATAGTGGGGGCAATACAAATATATTGGATGAGGATACATGGTTCATGGTTCATCTTAGACGATAATCGATGGTGCTTATTTTTACTATTACCCTCTGGTTATTTAACAGTTCGCCATGGTATAGATGGCCCATAGCCATGGATGGTTTACCTAATTATTAGTAGCATGGTGATTTTCCATGGCTATGTAACAAATAACCAGAGGGTATCTCAATATAACCCCTATTGAACACTATTAACCACTATTAATATCCCATTTAAATATGATCATCTAAATATGATCTGTCGGTTTTCGGCAGAAGGCTTCAAGGTTGATCCAACAGTCCCATCGTGACTGCAAGGGGATAGAAACGCCCCTACAATATCTCAGGTTTAATTTGAGTGTGGATGAACATTGAAAAGGGACCAGAGATTTTATGGTATTTTATGGTATTTTTCATAGTATCGTATTCATGGTACTGTATTCAGTGTTATTACAGCTATTACCCTCCTGCAAACTCACATAGATGTGGAGAACCCAACATATTTCGAGGCCTTCCCAGGGTTTCCCCATGGGTTTTCCACATCTATGCGATCCACCAAGGCACATGCAGTGGAGGGTCTTCGCCGTCCTTGGCTGCATCGGTTCGAAGCCTCAGTCCATATAGTCTGGTCACGGTGTATCTTATGCCATAAAATCGCGAACTGCTCAAGTGTCAAACTGAGTGCAATAGATGGAGAATATGGCAAAACTTGTTGTACAGGGAGCATGTGGCTACCAAACCATTGGTGCTCTCTTTTTTGCTGCCGCCTTTTTACAAGGATTGATGTCATCCACTCCATTGTGATGGAGAAAAAAGGGTCATCTGGGGATTGCAATGGATTTCACCGCATTTCCAGCATCAATTCTTAAGTACAAACCACTTAGTTGAAGCTGTGTGGAGGATCAACAAAAAAACTGTGATCCTAAAGTGGTCATAAAAGAGGTATCTCAAGATCAAAGACCCACATTTTCGGAACCGCACCCTGGGCCCAGGAGATCCTCAAGAAAAGTTGTCCAATAATTGCAGCCTTTTTTTCGGGACCAGGATTGGCTATGATATCAATTGATACCCAACTGTGACCAGGTGATCTTGGCCATCAGGGGCCACTACTTCGATGTGCATCCCACTTAGTAAGTGGTTTATTATCCACATATACCCATATTTTCCATTAATCTAACTTTTATTTTTGACGCATTTACTGGGGCCCGCAGCCCCAAGTAGATGAGGCAAGAAACATATGGTACACTCATGAGTGGCTCCAGCATCCCAGCAAGCCTCCTCTGGCTCCTGTGCACAGTCACGGGTGCCATCCCGAATTGGGAAAGGGAACACTAGTCCTTTGCAGCAAAAAAGGTCATAATTCGATGTTCATCCCAGAATTCGGTACAATTAGGTGACGTGATATCAACTTCCCTTATCCATCATTATCCATCATGATCCCATATCATATCCACAATGGTTGGTTACCATATTATTTTCCCATTAAATCACCCATCAATGTGTACCAACCTTTTGGGACCCAGGTTCAAGCGCCTGTGCCGCCTCCGTTCGCCATCCCTGTGCAAACGTCCCGCGCGTGGAAGGCCGAAAGATCGATGGTGGAGAAAGCACGTCCTTGGGCGTTCATGGTGGGTTTGCAAAATTGGTGGTTTTGAGCAATTGGACTGTGTAACACCCGAACCGAAGTTTTGTTTTGGGGGTATTCGTTCCGTTCCATTCATGCTAAGAACACCCCAACGATAGAAGATATTCCCCAACATGGATCCAGAAAATGTGTGGTTGGTCGATTTCAACTAGTAGGATTAATCACCCAAACCATCTTTTCAGCAGCTTTGTGAAGTCTCTGGATGGGATGAACAAATCTCCAGCGGCCAAGGATCATCGCCCCAACCATTCAGATCATTCATGTAGCTGGCCTAAGTCGTGTCATTCAGGGCCTCCATGGTCTCTCCAGGTCATTTCAGCCCAACATGTGGGACTTTCCATCTATTTTCAGCAGGGCTCCCTGATCTTCCAAAACAAATGTTGACAGTATAAGGAATGGTCATCTAAGGGGACTTGGCAAGAACCAGGGGTACCATGAAATGACATGTTTACAGTAGTCAGAATATCATGATCAACCTCAGGTTCCTGCTCGTTCAACCCCCCGGTGTCGTCTCTTTCTACTGCTTGGTTCGTAGGATTTCCGACAATGGATTGTGACGCTCCTCAATTTCCGATCCAAAAAAACAATCGACCATCAACATCCAGCACCCATCGTTTATAGTCGGTCATATCCACATCCTGAGGCTCGGACATCTGGATGGGGGCTGTCCGGCCTAGCGAACAAACTGTTGGGGGGTAATGTAGATTGTGTGAGACAAGGGATACCCAAAAGAAATATGAATAATTAACATGATAATCTGGTAAACCCAATCATAAACAAAATCATGTGGGAATACCAAATAGCATGTTTCAAGGGAATGACAAACATGATCATGTGGTAACCCATGGTAACCCCCATAAATCATTTCCAATTCGTGTTTAAACTTTGGGTATAGCTCTATGACTGGGATGATTTTTCCGGGATCCCCCAATGGATGGTCAATGGGATGGTTGCAACAATTAAGATTATAGATTATCCCATGGTTTCCACACCCAACTGGCAAATATGATATCATGGTAGTATGGCCACTACCAAGATGATCATGGCATACCATGGCATCATCCGCGCATCGGGTTTTGGTTTTAAAGAAAAGATTGGAGAACCGAACCTTCGTAGGCGTCCTTGAACAACTCACATGAAACTAAAAGAATCGGACATGATTGTTGTGGTGGCTATTGTTGTTGCCAACCATGTGTATCCAGATTTTGATGTATCATGCCTGGGCCTTGAACTTAATTGACATGTGGCCCTTTGACGCCACATCATGCACGTGAATTGGGGATCAATTTTGTAGGTACATGTCGGACCACAACAAGGTGAACATGTGTTGTTGTTGTTGTTGTTGCTGTTGTTTGTTTGTTTGTCTGTCTGTCTGTCTGTCTGTGTGTTTGTTTGTTTGTTTGTTTGTTGTTTGGATTGATTGTTTGTTTGTTTGTTTGTTTGGTTTGTTGTTGTTGCTGTTGCTGTTGGTGTTGCTGTTGCTGTTGCTGTTGTTGTTGTTGTTGTTGTCGTCGTCGTCGTCGTCGTTGTTGTTTACTTGGTTTGTACCTTTACCGTTGGTTCCTCCACCATTCCAATTTTCATACATGTTCATACTGTCTATTCTGGCCACAGGTTCTTGCTAGGTGCGTGCTGCCATTTACTGAGGGTTTCTTTTTGGTAACATCGCATTTCCAGCATCTTTCGGGCCGCATTTCTGTTCGTTAAGTCAAATCTGGTCAATCACTTTCTTTCTCTAGGTTATAATGGCATATTTTTGGGATATGATAGGATAAAATCACATGACACATGGTTATATATGGTTATAATCAAACATGGTGATATACGTTTGTAATCATGAAAACCATTTGTGAACTTCAAACTTTACTTTACTTCGACTGATCCCCACCATGGCATTTCAAAGAATACCGTGCTTTAGTACCAACCTTCAGCTACGAGTCCCATTGCAAGACTCACAGCATTGTTTTATCTGAAGCAAAGTCTTCGGTGAGACAGATGCCCAGTTCACTCGTTTGATGATATTCCAGCCATACCTTATGAGATTCTTTCTGGCATTCGAGGTCCGGCGGGGAACACTCTGCTCCGGAGCTCGCGGTTGAGGTCCGGCGGGGAACGCTCTGATCCTGAGCTTGCAGTTGGGGTCCGGCGGAGGAAGGAGAAGGAAGGACAAGGAAGGACGGACGGACGGACGGAAGGAAAGAGGCGGGCAGGCTGACATAAAATCTAACAACCCTCACCTGACAGGTGGGGAAAAAGGCATGGTTTCAGATCCTGAAAATGTCCAGCCGCGCAATCCGACCAGGAGTGGTGACCTTTCCCAAACAAGAACTGTTGGACCATTTTGCGGTTGTGAATACATACACATATATATATATACATACACATTGGTCATATACATGTACATATTTGTGTTTTTGAATCTTGTCATGATTTTTTAGTATATATGTATATATAATATATATATACACATATATATATATAATATATCTATAAACCAGAATTTACGGTAAGCTCGTTACAATTGGCCAAAGAAATCGAGCTTTCCTGGCAACAAAAAACGAGGGCCTCCGTGTAGGTTCTGCTCTCGGTGGTGGCGCCTGTGAGACGTCTAATTGGTGTTGGATTCCCCCCTAGGTAGATTTAATCAGATTTCATGGGGTTTCATGTAAACCAACCATTTCTTTGAGGATTTCTCTATGGTTTTTGAGATTGCTTCATTGAGATCAAAAATGGGATTTGATTGGACTTTTCAATGGTGTTTAACAAGTAAAAAATCAGATCCAATCGTCCAAGCCATCGTGTCTTGTTGAACCTCCAAGTGCAGAGCGAGTTTCTCAGACATTTGGTCAAGTGGTTCGGGATACCATCTGGAAAAGAGATACATCTAATCATGTGGTAAACACAAGAATAATCCCCCAAATTTGGAGGGTCGAATTCTGGATTGGTGAAATTTGGTGAAATTTGGTGAAATTCTGAAGATGATTGGGTTAGCGGGTTACCCCTATGAAAGGATCCTGCAGATTTTTCGACTGCCGAGGGGCCAGTCCCTCGTGCAAGTGCAGCAGATCTCCAGTCTCGTTGACCCGAATCGGGCTGGGACTCCTGGTTTTTACAACCGATGGATTGATTGGACAATCTGCAGGAAACATGTGATAGAGGTTTATACAGGTTGATTGGTTGATGGTTTCCTGATGGTTGATTGGTTGATGGTTGATGGTTGATGACTCTTTCTATTTGATGGTGGTTTTTCATCTGGTTAAACCATCAGAAAAAATACCACCAACCATAGAGGTCATAGAGGTTGATCCACAAAGATTCGATCAACTCTCCCAGGTTGCGAGACGGAAATGCCGTGACTGATTCAATGGGTGAATCTCATATAAAACATGGGATAAATTGGGAAGGTGCCCATTTCTTCCCAGCTTTAGATGCCCCAAAAATTCAGCCATTTCTGGTTGGTTGAAGGATTCCTCCAAAAACGTGGCTAAACATCACCCAACAAATGCAGCTACAGCTACATGTATTGCCAAGAAGAATGAGAAAAAAGGCAAAGGAATAAAATGCGAAGAAATCCAAATGCGGACCATGGTTGCCTAACTCATCTACAGTAACTTCCAGTTTCTGCTGCTTAAAATCCGCCCACACCGCTTTGGCGGTGAAGGCGTGCTTATTGGGGGGCAACAGCAACACTAAATGCTCAATGACATTTGTTAATATAGCAGTCGCTATATCAGCTTTAGCTGGGGGGGGGGGGCCCCAAAAACGGTTTCGCACCGAGACCAGACCCCAAAAACGGTTTCGCACCGAGACCAGAATACGGTGGTGTTTTCGACATTTTTCGAGGATTTTTGGGTGTCTGAGCGCAAGAGGGTATTGAAATGGAATTTTGGGTCATTTTGGTAGCTTTCCGGCAATGGAAAAACGGCCAAAAATGAAAAAAACATTGTACATAGCAAGATTTTGCAGGGTTTTTGGATGCCAGAGCATTGAAAACACTGCAAAAACAAGTGTTTTGGACTGACGTTATAGCAAAAAACGTGTAAATTACCGTATGCTTGACTGGAAACATTACAAAAACACTGTCAAAAGCAATGTTTTGGAAGGATTTACTGCCTTTATGGCAAAAAACGTGTAAATTACCGTCTGTTTGACTGGAAACATTGGAAAAACACTGTCAAAAACAATGTTTTGGAAGGATTTCTTATTGAAACTTCTTAGCTTGAAGAGCCCCCACGGGGGAAAACCACCCTTAGCCCCTCTCACGGACCGAAATAAACCTGCGGTGTGGGCGGCCACCCCACGCGAAGCGGGGTGAATATGCTAAGACATATGTTAATATCTCTTAAAAAACCAAAATTTGCAGGGATGAATTGCCACAGATCTAACTCGCCTCGTCCGCTCAGATAGCATCGTATGATCAGATTCCTCGACGAAAAAACACGGGCAAGACTCGAAATGTGCAGCTCATCTTTTGAAACCATGGATTTGTTGGATAACAACATTGAAACTCTATGATTTTTCCAGCTATAAACCTCCACTTAGTTCTGGGATTTCCATTGCCACGATTACCGCGGAATATCGCTATTTTTTGGTGGTTATAGATGTGAAACCATCTATACCAACCATTTCTTAGTTGGTCATTCTTTGCGGGATTTTTAAATCACCAAACCCCACTCCACCGAATTTGGATTCAACCAACAACGGTCGGTTGGGTCGTGGCTTTTCCGCCAAGCAAAATAGGGAGTATCACCGCCAGCCAAAGATGGATATTGTTCACCGGCAAAAAAACACAGGAAAGAATCACCAGCAAACATAGGAGGATCCCATTGGAGATGGTGGTTTATATGTTCCATTTCGGCATGCTTCGGCCATTGAGCATGCATGGTTTATTGGGATCATTATCTTCATGGGGTGTGTGAAAGTCCAAAAAAGTATTCTCCGCTCAGTTTTGATAATGTTTACGCTTTTCCGGGAATGAAGATGTTGGTTGGTGCAAAGTAAATCATAATCGACATGGCTGGGAACACCATGGTTGTCCATTTAATTCCATAATTCCATTTGCATTCTTTCTTGCACATTCACATCCACTTTATCCTGCTTTCAGGAAAAGCAAATACAACCGTATTGTATAGATACTACAACTATAATCTTCTTGGAACATCTGTCATATAACTGCAGTATTCTTGTAGTTCTTGATAAATATTGATAATTATCCATATATTGATACTAACAGTTACTAACTATAATAATAATATCTATTATATCTAGATATATACAAATATATACAAACTATTCCACTTGATATCGATATCTTCCAATCCAAGTTGCATCTTCCTCTTCAGCTGCTCCCGCTTGGGAATCTTCTCCTCCGGCGCTGTCAATCCGTGGAGCAGCACGAGGAATCGTAAAAAGTCGAGCTGCGGCATCCTTGGGGAACGAGCCGGCGCCAACGGCGCACATCCGAGAATCCCGGGACCCGGTCGAGGCGTAAAAGGGACATGGGGAATCCATCGAAAACTCGAATCCTCCCGGAATCTATGGGTTGATACGTATGGAGTTAAGGAGAAACACACACAATGAGATTGAATCAGATTGAACTGAACATCTATGAATCTATGAAAATAACAAATTTGTGCATGACACATCAAGACACCACCATTGTCTGATACTTATTTTCTGGGATAGTCGCAAAGACAGGACACAACTCATAGAGGCAATGGTAAAGTTCAGGTATGATCAGGCTGATCAGGTATGGATAGTCAGTGGTTGAACAGTTTTGAGGATGAATTGTAAATAAACGAATGCACTACCCAGATCACTGCTCTTTAAACAACCAATGCCAAATGACGCCATGTGTTGTTTCTGCGAAAATCAGGATCTGTTTTGGACTTAAGTAGGAATAGACAATCTTGATCAATGCAGCCAACTTAGCGGCATTAGCTAAACGTTAAAGCCAGCCAAACAAAAACAACATAAACACCAAACACTGTGATACAACCAGAAACATTTTGGATCGAGCCGACACAAGTTGAGAAAATCACAGGTCTCTCTACAGTGACCAAGAACCTGTCCCTCTGAAATCATGATGATTTCTATATCAAGCAGATCAACTAACTATAAACTAGCTCAGCTATTCTCTATGTTTTTCACCCTAGAAATAGCCAATCTAGCCACTTTTGGCGAAAAACTTCACCAACCAAGGCTTAAACCAAGGTGCTGCTGACACTGTTTGAACACGCCGAAGCAACTGCTGACTCTGGCGCTGGAGATCCTGGAACTGCTGAACGTAACGCTGATGATGCCCTTCGAAGCGCCCATGTAGTTCCGCATGCAGTTGCACAGATCTGACAGCTCGCGCCTGAGTTTTCCATGGATTGATTTTGCAGTGACGTCTACTGGAAACCAATGGCTTTTGAAAGGTCTAAAACAAAGTATGCCGAAATCTGCAAATCTAGAGATTTTCTGTAACAATTGTCTTCCAATTGATGCAGGTAACCTACAAAAAACCACTACTCGCCAATCCACTGGCACTGCGGCAACCTATCCAGTGTCAAGTCACTTGTGATCCCTTGTTGTCCAATGGCGGTTCCTCCAAGTTATCCCCGAAATGATCGAAATGTATGGTTGCTTAGACATCCCAATAGATTCTCTTACGTTCTCCGTTTTTCCCAATGACAATTGCGCATCTTTTTGCACCTCCCGGCATTTTGAAGGGTACCCTCTGGTAATTTAACATAGCTATGGAAAATCACCTTTTTTAATGGGAAAACCCACTATAAATCACCATTTTCAATAGCTATTTTGACATAACCAGAGGGTAAAAACCTACCGATGTTTGATGGCAACGCTTGCCGTTAAATTTTGGACATCTGAGCTTCCGGGCTTGTGCAGACGAAGGGCTGCGCCTGGAAGGATGGCTGGGCTGCTGATGGGGAATGGGCCGCTTAAGCGACCGATCTACAGCTGTTCTAATTTGAAAATCACAAAATTCTTAGTGCGACCAAAAAATTGATTCATATAAAATGTATGTATATATATATATGTATCCACATGATCTATTCATCCATTCGAATTTTCGCTGGACGCTTCACTTTTGGAGTATCAGACAGATTCAGCACCGGCCGGCCTCTGTTGTTCGTGCTGCAAGTCTTCCTGACACAAGTTCCACTGAATCCTTCACCATCGAAAGGGGAAAGACATGCCTCTGAAATTCCCACACCAACTTTGATAAAGATACTTCATGATATGCACTTTGAGATTTAAGGGTAACATAGGGTAACATAGTTTCAGTTAAACGCAGGGTTTGTCTACAAAGGAAGCATTCCTCAAAGTAGCAATCCGAATCTTCGAGAAACTGATGATAAACCATGGGATTCTGAGTTCTGAGGTACTAACTTTTGAGGACATTGACATACTGATAGACAGACATATATTCATTTTCCAACTGAGAGTGTTCAAATCCCTCTGTCGTCCTTTGCTACTGGTCGATCAGTAGGATTTCCAATCATAGATTGTGATAATCCCAAATATATTGGATAGTACAACCACACATATTCAAACCATATCAAATCTCATCAACCATCATTTATGAGTTGTATCAACGTGTATATCCACAGTGTGATGTCTGAAACCCCTTTGAAATGATGAACTAATCATCAATCAACAGGGCTTTAGCAGCGCAAAAACCGGGCCTGCAACAATCGGGCGATAGCCACATCGTCACCTGGGCGCCAGAAAAAAATGCTGGGAAACATGATGATTCACCAGTGGAGTTAGGGTATTTACCATGGTATTTACCATGATTCACCGTTATTTAGCCCCTGTTCACAAGACATGGTGATTTTTTTTTTTGCATGAATGATTGAATGTGCTTTTTGGCCAGGTTATACTCCCCTATGGACCATGGCAACATTCTGTGATCAAAACAAAGCCATGGCAGCTCAACTGAGAAGGATGCGTCACCAAGGGTGACGGTGATTCTGGCCACATTGGTACACTTAAAGTCACGCGCAGACCCGGTTTTGCCCGTCAGGAATAGTTAAAATTGGGAAAGATCAACAAGTGTATGAGAAATATAGAATCCACTCCCGGTGAACATTGCATTCAACTGGGAAGATCAAGAAGGATTTAGGGGTTGGGGTTTAAGATTTAGGGTTTTGGATTAGGGTTCAGGGCTTAGAGTTGGAGATGATGATGATGATGATGATGATGATGATAATGCCGGCGACGACGGCGGCGACGACGACGACGACGGCGACGACGACGACGACGATAATGCCGGCGACGACGACGGCGACGACGACGACGATGATGATAATGATGATGATGATGATGATGATGATGATGATGATGATGATGATCGGCGACGACGACGACGACGACGACGACGATGATGATGATGTGTGAGAGAGCCGCGCTGGTCCCTACACTGTGCGTTCCGCTATATAACATGAACTCAACCATCATGCAAAAACGGTCGCCGGCAACATCGGGAAAAACGATGGGTGCACCTGTGGAATTACTGAGAAAGAACGTAATGGTGCCGCGAGCATGTATCATGGAAGATATCCGTGGCAATTAATTACCCAAGCAATGAATTTTTGCACAGCTTGCCAAATGACTTGTAATCAGGGTATAACTTATGTCTTGTTGATACAGCATTTATAAGGGGGAAACACTGAGTTACCAGCCACCTCGGGAACTTCAGGGAAATGCAAGCCAAAGTATTAGTTGCTCATACGAAGTACATTTCCTGTATAGTCCCTCATATGGTAAACCCAACAGAAAGTCATATCTCATTTACCCGATGAAGTATGATTTTGGGGATCAAAAACCACACCCCCCAAAAACGGTGCCAAATGTATATCATATATACATATATCTAAATTATCATCATTGTAATCATGTGAGAATTAGTACAAATATTACTGGCACTCCTGCCATTCGCTTTACCCAACGGGCTAAACCTGTCATTTGGGGATGGTTTAGATCCTCCGTGGATCGCCAGATTGCTCGATTGGCTCGTTTCGATCCTTCGTGGCTGGCCCTGTTGAACCTCGGGCTTCAATTGGAACGAGTTGCGTGGTGACGAGCGGGCTATCAGATGCTTGAAATCTGTATACCGTATAGATCCGTATAGCATATTATATGTATAGGATACTACATGTACAATAACAATAATAGAATAATAATATACTGAAGGAGAATCTTTTTAGAATCAGCACTTTAAGGATCCAGCCTGCAGGTCGTGGATATTCTTTGTGGCACATCATGTGGGGGATGTTTACCTATAGAATCTGTATCCGCAAATGTGTCTTGCTGAATATGCAACACATTGCCAGATTGTGTGAGTGAATGATCTGCGAAGACTCTAGGACTCTAAGTCATGTACATGTACAGGTTTTAACAAATTCACCTATTTCACCTTTGGATTGCCTGATATCTTTCTCAGAAAAACCACTCACTGGGTGAATACCATTACCAAAATACCGTCAAATATGGGTGGTAGTCCTGTAGTCAACGAGGTCATCTATTGCTGTCCAGTCGCTCTCATGTTGTGCCTCACAGAACCCGCTCGAAGCCCGGTACAAATGTTCTGTCTTTGCATTGAAAAACACCAGGTGACACTGACATCAAACCACAAACACAAACGTAGCACCAACCGTGCGATATTTCTATACATGGACATATTCAATGCATAATCCAAAGCCAATATATAGTGTTGTTTAAACACAAGTGATGCTTGCGGAAAAAGTGAACTGAAAATTTGTCAGGGAACTTGGATGCATAGAAACTGGAAAGAATAAATGTGTTTATCGCCATGGGCACAGAATTCCCCCCCCCTGCCAACCTTGCATTCAGTCCATTCGCTTCGCGAAGCAGATTCTGGCCGGTGGGATAGTCTTGGAACAGCCAACCAGAAATGCTTTCACCAGACAACCCATTTGGAGATCAACACCTATACCAGATGATACCAGATGACCAGATGTTGGGTGAAGATCCAGTTCCGTCCAGCGAATTTTTGCTGTTGATCCGCGGAAAATCTCGTCACAAATCATCCCACCTGCGATTGCACGAAGCACTGCGGCGAAAGCTCCGGACCTCGGTTTGTTCGAAAATAGGGATTGTCATTGGGATATAATGGGATTTATAAGAGGATTTCATGGGATTTAATGGCATTTAATGGGATTTATAATAGGATTTAATTGGATATAGTGGGACATAGTGGGACATAGTGGGATATAGTGGGACACAGTGGGATATATATATATAATATACGTATGATTTTCATCCACCAGAATCGGGATATAATGAGTATGGGATATGACCCACAAAATGTGGTATATTTAGGTCCAAAAAGGTCATGATCATTACGGTCATTGCATGATGTGTGTAAACCATGATAAGCAATCAAATATCATTAGAAACCATTTTGAACTATTATAAACTATGTTTATGCCATGACTTGCTACAAGGTTTACAATGGCATAATATGTGACTTGATGTGTTTGTTTGAATGCCATCTACAAAGGTGTATATGCTTTATATGGTTCAACGATCAATTCTATGGTTTGAACATGTTTAAACCATATCAACCTTAAAATAGCGTTATCCATCTTTAAACCTTAAAAAATGGTGTTAGCCATTGTTACCCTAGCATTAAAATATTATGGTTTAACAATATTATTTCTGTAAGGTTTAAACCCATATCGACATGTTCTTTTCTTTAAAGCACAAAAGGCATTTAGAAGGGTAACCTTCTTTCCTTAGCTATTGGGTAACCATGGTTGATATGGTTTAGCTATTAAAAGGGGGTTACCCTCTGGTAATTTAACATAACTATGGAAAATCACCATTTATAGTGATTTTTCCCATGAAAAATGGTGATTTTCCATAGTTATGTTAAATTACCAGAGGGTACCAACCCTATTCAACCACCAGTTTTCCGTCACAAATTGCTTCGCTGAGAGGCGGCTATGAGTTGCCTGTGACGCCTCGGAGATGGTGGCGTGGCGTGGCTGGATTGCAACTGTTAGAGGTTGAACCCCCATTATATATTGGGTTAATCATGATATACTATATACATATATATATATATATAGATAGATAGATAGATTTGTTGGGTTGAGATCCCATTTCCTTTTTCCATCACCAGTCGAGCAGTGTTCAAAATCCGATTTATGTCGACCCTTAAAAGATCCAAAATGTTGAGAACGGGATTCCCCGTGAAAATGGATGACGACTAATCCCCACAATATATATATATATATTTAAATGGTGATTTAATGGTGATCAACCCTCTGGTGATGGATATATTATATATATATAATTGGATAATAAAAGCCACTATAATCATCATAGTCATCAATCAACAGGGGTGAAAAAACACGGCTCGATTCATATCAGAAACACGGTAACACTTGGAGCCTTTTTTCTCAAGCTGATAGATCTATCCAACAAAATCATTTAGAATAGAAATAATCACCTGAATTCAACAACCCAACATGATTTGAATACTCGCAACATCACACACGCTATGAAAGTTCAGCCAAACAAAGATGCGGATGAAAGACCCATGAAAGAACGGGATTGACCATACTTGGGGCGTACGAGGCAGAGTAGCTACTTAAAAAGTGGGACCCTCGGCACCTCCCAGATTTGGACACCCCAAACTCGTGGGCTTCTTCCTTTTGAAGTACTAGCTAGAATAACATGCTGGTGGAACCTGGGCCTACTGTTGATTTATTCCAATGTGATTATAATTGATTATATGTTTCGGAGATCAACGCTTCAAGTAGAGTGTCACACAGGCCTCCAGGCATGTGAATGAAAACACAGTCCTCAACATGTGTATATATGTATATATGTATATATGTATATATGTATATATGTATATATGTATATATATATGTATATATATGTATATATATGTATATATGTATATATGTATATATGTATATATGTATATGTATATATATATGTATATATATGTATACGTATATGTCTATATATTATACATATATACTATTATTTATACTGCTGCGACATCAACCGGAACAGGCTCATTTACCCAACCCTACCCTGCATACTGAATTGGTCACGCCGGGGCATGGCGGCTTGGCATTTACTGTCTGGAGAAGTTTCAACCACAGCTATTTCATGGACAATTTTCATTGTCCAAACATGCGAAAATTGGGATACCAACTGAACCGCGAGTGAAAATGTTCCACTTCTAGTCCTAAATCACCCATTTTGGCCGATCCCTTTGACCTAGCCCCATTTGAAGCTTTTGCACAATTTGAATAAAGAGCTTTTCCTGTAAATTCAAAATTCATATTTTTTTTTTGAATTTCAACCCATCAATCATTTGAACTAATAGCCTCTTCTATTTTAACGCAGGCTCCCATTTTCAGATGATTTGTGAAACAATTGTGATTTTCCATAACTATGTATGTTTGGAAGCCCCCAAAAGATGGATGGTGACATCCTCCAAATGACACCCCTTTCTTGGGTCCATTGATACCCCCATGTTGTGTCGCCATGCCCAGTGCCCAGTCACCGCCGGAACAGCTCTCATTCGCACTGGCGGCTGCATTTGGAAACCACCGCCTGGTGGGAGAATGACCATCGCTGTTTTGGGTCCGTGGATCCAAGATGAAGATATGGGGGTTTCGATAAATGGATGGTTTATAAGGGAACATCCCAAACAAAAATGGATGTTTTTTTTTTTTCCGGGTACCCCAAATGATTTTTTTTGGGTACTCCCAGTCACGGTTTTCCCATGAGGCGATACGTGACATGTCATCCACTGGTTTCTCATCATTTTCCCTATAAAAAAACTGCAACCGCACATGGGTACAGCCCACTTTCAGACAGACCTAAGTCTGAGTTCGTGATATATCCCATCATATCACCATCAAACTCCCGTTAAATCCCTGTATATATATATATCACCAACATAATCATGTTTCAAGTCTTCTATTTAGTCCACTTATATCCCATTGAATCAGCATTGAATTGGCTGCTGGGTTTGAAAGTTTCATGATCAATCACTGTTTTCTCTCGTAAAATGTCAATGTTTTATGGCTATACCGGCTATACCTCATTTTCAGATCCGTCCAAAAAAAACATATTGAGTTGGCGATATCACTGTATCCCACACAATATCCCCATGATATTGTGGAGAAAATCCTAAAAACCAGTGGTAAAACCCTGTTGGAATTCCAGCAGTTTAACACTGCAAATTTCATGGGATTTTCGACCCTGGGATGTTTACCATGATATTTACCACCAGCTGGGTGATTGGGAGCTGGCAACCATCCCCATGATATTCCCATTAGTGTTGGTTTAAGTAGGTGATCTATATGTATGTATATTATATATTTATATTTATATTTATATATATATATACATTAGATCCGGGTCTGGTCTATTTAAATCAGGGATCCTGACGTATCAAAATGGTGCCTTAGAACCTATTAAAGGATTCTTAGAACCTGCTGTAAAATTCTTAGAACCTGTTGTCTATAAATCTGGGTCTTTTTATTACATATAGTTTAGAATCAAGTCTGCTCTATTTAAATCAGGGATCCTGACGTATAGAAATGCTGGTTTAGAACTTTTTATATAATTCTTAGAACCTATCGTATAGTTCTTAGAATCTATTCAATTTGCTTCTAAACAAATTATCATTTGTTTCTGCCTCAAACAGTTCTTGTTTTGAACAAGGTGTCATACAATTGGGTCTTACAACTTATTGCTGCATATTTGTCGCACGTGTTGTACATGATTTGATGTTTTTCAGACTACGTCTCAACAGCATAAACATGATTGCTCAATATCCAAACCTTTTGCCTTCAAGATCCCTCCTTGTCCGGACATGCATCATACCCACTGTATTTTGGCACAACCACAGTCAATGAAGTTTTTGCAGCAGCCTTCCAGTAAGACATTGACACTACACAAAAGCGATGTGCCACGCCGCAGCGTTGGATGAAAACAGCCTCCTTCCATGCATATGTACGTACACGCATATGCTTGATCAGTGGAAACCCACTGACAGAATAAGTTCTTGCATACAAGGATCTATACGTACAATGAGACAAAAATTGCACCATCTGCGCACGCGATTGGATATGCGTGTGAAAAATTGTATATCACATACATCATGTATGACTTTTAAATCAGTTTTTTTTTTGGGTGGGGGTAGATAAATGATGTTCATGATGAAAGTATGCAGAAGTATGCTTTGTGCTCTCAAATTTTATGCATGCTCCATGTCAGGTATGGGCTACCATCCAGGCAATCCATGAGTGAGTGTATAAGTCAAGAATGTCTTTTCTTGCTCTTGCTATCACATGGTCCTATTGATCATTTAAACAACATATGACATATTTGATGTTTGGTTGTGAAAAAAACACGGCTGTAGCATACGATAGCAGAGAACATGATTGGTGCAGTCCCTTGTCATGCTACCATCTTTTCCAAATTTCACTGGGCCGCAGTTACAATGCACGACTGCGCGCTGATGACTGTTAGTGCGCTTAGTGCGTTGTAGCTACGCATGCTTTGTCGTGTGCTTTTGTTACAACGTATGATTCGATGATCATATCACTGTCACTGTATCTGCAAATGATGGGCTCAATTCATGAAACCGAAGGTTCAGATTTTTTTCCTTGAAACATTTTTGCAAAGGACAAGAGGGTTCCGTAGGTGGATTGAAGAAGCACGCTGCATTGCTTCAGCAGGTGGGGCAGTACAGTAGAGAGTCGTAGATCAGTTGTTACCTAGCAGCTACTAGCAAGTTAGCCAGCAGTTACCATTGTATCATTGTATCATAATTGTCACTATCATGTATTAACAAGTATTAACTATACTATACTATTTGTGGATTTTGATTAATGATTCATGGCTTAAGACCGTTCCAACGTCTACGCTTTAACATGTCACAAGTAGTCAGGTATGTGCCTTGTATCATGATGTCAAAGCAAAAGCACGTAGCGGTGTAATACCTTTACTTAAATGCTGTATGGTTCATGATACATGACTTCGACTGTACATCTTGCGGACATGGGCTGGTTTGATGAATCCTGCAGATTTTCCTTGCATGATGCAATACTTCCACTGCTTCTGGCAAGTCTTCACCGTTTCACCGGAATAGACAATGTGGTAGAATGGCCTTCTACGTTGGATGTTTCCCTGCTGGCCCTGGACTCCACCCCCATGCCCCGTAGCCGAAGTCGTTTTTTGAATTCAGGTTCTAAGATTTGAGAAATAGTTTCTAAACTTTTTTTTTGGTGAAATTACAGGTAGAAACAGTTTCTGGCAGGTAGAAACGGTAGAAACGGTTTCTGGCACCATCCGTAGGCCATTTCAGGGCTCAACTTTCTTCCATTGTTTACGTTTTTTTCCCACAGGACAGTCAGGGCTGAGTGCAATGTCCCAATAGCAAATCAACAGTGTTCTAGTCAAATCCATTTGAACACGCAAGCCGGGCCGAGCAATACGCAACTGCCAGGACATCCCAAGATGTCTCTTCAAACCCCCTTAATTTCCCCCAGAAGTTTAAGTAAGGCCGGAAATTATTTTGAACCGTGTTGACACTTCAAACTTTGGTACTTCAAGTATTGACCTCCGGATTATGCCAACATGTCTAGACTTTTATGATTTCTATGGGACCCTATGTTGTCTATGTTTGATTTTCTCGTTCATGTTAAAACAGGCAATCATTTCATGAGGTTGAAAGCCAAACAGGTAGGAACCGTTGAAACCGTTTCCACCTATTTGGGCCCAAAACGGATGGAAACCGTTTCTTCCGCACAGCGCTATTATGCCCCAAAAACGAAACAGATTAGAAACCGTTTCAAACCGTTTCAAACCGTTTCTGGAAGCTGTTTATAACATAATAGGTTGAGACCGTTGAAACCGTTTCCACCTGTATTTGTTGGAAACAGGTAGAAACCGTCGAAACCGTCCCTACGAGTCTTGAAAACACGCATAATTTTTAACATTATGGTAAGATGGCAAAGGCTTCGAGGTTGCTTAAAATACCAAGGTTCTAAGTCGTAAACTGTAAGTATTTGCAGGTTAAAACTCACCAGTTTAGGTACAAACTGCAATACAAATTCATGGTCAAACATCTGAAAGTTATATATATATATGATATCAACTGTTGAATACGGTGCAAGTGTAAGTCAAAGGCTGGAAGTGTTTAAATGAAACAGTGAACTTGAAACTTAGTTGTGGCTTGTCTTTAAGTATATTGAAATGAGTGATGGAGATGCCACTATTTTTTCTTTGGGGGTTTAACGTGTGAAGCTGCTTGTACTAGTAGGTTATGCACTTAACACGTTCATTAATCGACAAGTTTTATCATCGCATATCACGGAATATTCGACAGTCAAGTTCTCATGGCTCCTCTTGCAATAAAGAACATAACAAATTGTTATCAAAACAAACCTATCACTAGTTTTCAGCGCCTATTTGCTGCCTATCTGAATCTGCTTCACTAAAAAGTATGATTATACATATTCATGCAGCACAGCCTCCCATCATACTGTTTTGACGGTATGCAGTATGCTGGTTCATACCATTTCATGTAAGCATAGTAATTCTGCAATTCGCAACACCACTCTATCCACATAGTTTTATGGCAAACAGCTCACGGCATAAGTGCATATATGACGGTATGCCGTAAATGATGATATTCAGTATGTGGCCGATGTTTGGTGGCACATAGGAAACATATGAAAAAAATGTACCTTAAGCTTCTTTCAGATTCACGATGTTATTGTTTACTGCCCTGAATTTAGCATTTAATTCAACTTGATTCGCATTCCCACTTATGAACCCATGCAAGGTATCCTACTGGGATAACTGAAGCAAACACACAGTGTTCCACCAAATCCCAGTTTCATACAATGCGCTTGGAAAGAAGAAATACATGTACCACCGGGTCCAACATCAAGGCCACGAAGTTTGGTTTGCCTTTTGAAAAACCAACTCACACCCAGCAGTACAGTTGATAGATTGCTGTGTGGGCAAATCTGCAGTGTCCGGCTGGATTTTGGCAGATTTTGGCTAATATGGGCTATAATTATAATAGGTTCCAAGAAATTATGATCAGGTTCTAAACATGCCCTGTGTGGTCAAAATGCCCACAGGTAAATAGACCAAACACGGTTCTAATATATACATTATGTATATATATATTATATATATATATCATCAACATAATCACCATTTTTGTTGGTGAATTCCCCCATCTTTTGTGCAGCTCCAAGTAGCGCATCGGGGTCGCCACTGGCACACCACGCACGCCACGCACGCCACGCACAGCACACAGCGCTGGGGCCTGTGGGGCTGCTGAGGCTTGGGGATGGTGGATGGTGAAATGTGGCAGTATATCAACTGGATTCAACTGGTTTTATGGGTTCTAACTGATTTTAGATGATTTTAATGATTTTAACTGGAATTTTAACTGGATTCAACTGGTTTTATGGGTAAAAATTATTTTCAATGATTTAAACATGATTTTAGATTATTAAATCATTTTTCTAGAGTATTTGACATGATTTTAAGGGATTTTGATGGGGATGATTATTCTCCAATATGGAACCCCCAATCAACTGACCATGACGAGGGTTTTCGGTTGCGATTCCCAAAATGTGTCCCTGGGTGATGTTCCAAGACACTTCACAACCCCCAGGTCACCTGCATAGTAATTTTCAGCCTTGCCAATTTATGAGACAATTACTATTTTCAAAAAAATATGGGAATGTTTCCCTGATTTCATTGGTTAATGGGTATCCGTTTGCATTTTTTTAAATATGTGTTCCTCATCACATACACGGCATCCAACACCAATGGGGGAATTCCAGTGCCGGGTTTGACCAGCTGGATTTCCTTGGGAATATGATTTCGTTTTGATAGGTTTAACCACCCAAATGGTTCATGAATTTTGTCCTCCGTGTAAAGCCATGTTGTTCCAAGTGCTATTAGTGAAGTAATTATGCTGTAATATATATATATATATTCAAGTATCCCAACTTGTCATCAACAAATAGTTGGTTGTCAAATACCAAGTTCATGATCACACACACACACATAATATGTATATTTATATATTAATTAACTATAAACTACAGTACTATATCAGTACATGTTTACATACATATCCTATTGCCGATTCTCCCGTGCGATTATCCGAATCTAGCGGGTGTGTTTGAGCTACCCCCCACGACCTGTTTGAACCCCCATCCATACGGATCATTGATTGCATACTATCATGGTACCCATGATGATATTCTTGCAAGTTTACCAGTCACCTAGTCATAATCGAAGCACATTGGTCAAATGAACAATGAACATCAATGAGCAACTGGTTAGTGGTTTCAACTCCTCTGAAAAATATTAGTCGATTGGGATGATTATTCCCAATATATACTGTATATGGAAAAATAAAATTCATGTTCCAAACCACCAACCGGACAATGAGTTGTATCATCACTGAATCAGTGATGCATCCCCCTTTTCAGCGGATTGCGATGAAATCTCGCCTGCACGCGCACGACATGTGGGACCTGCATGTGTGTTGCCTCGGTTCAGCATGCGTTGCCTCACATGAGAAAATGAAGAGGTGTCCCTTGAATTTGAGGACTTCCAAGACGACATTTTGATCACTGAACAATGGAGATTCAACCACAGGGAAAGGGATTTAAAACAAACGATGACGATTTAACGTGTAAAAGGGAATTTCAATCTGCGAAAAATGAAGATCTCCACTGAAAAATGGAGATTGAAATTCTTAAGATTTAGATTTTGGTACCTGGGATGCCTTGGTAATGCGACCCAAAACGTTTTTTCGGGAATTGATAGAGGAAAGCGTGCTCTTCGAATTCAACATTGTTGGGTTGCCTTTTCAGTTTTCTGTTGACCAAGAGTGGGATTAAGGGACTGATTCCAGGGCTACAGCTCAAGTTTTATCTGTGTTGAAATCATTTCTTCGCCGCAAGTCCATGTTTGCTGCTTTACATCCTAATTCTTACCCTGCCCTACAACATGCCCAAGAAATTGTGCTCATGGATTTCGTTGATCTTGAAGAATGACTGTTTGAAACCAGACCCTTAACAACCCACAATGGCAAATAGACATAACTCCAAGATCCAATGCCATTCCCTGATATCCCATCGTTTTTTTACGCTTGCATTCTTTTGTCAAGAAACGCTTGGACAACAGTCCCATAGTCCCAACAAAAAACGCCCAAATATCTGTTGGTCAAATCCTCATTTTAGCCTCAATCTGTCCAAAATCCCAATATTTTTGGCTCATATTTGATGATTCCAACGTACCTGAAATTAAAAAATCCAAGGCTTTTGATGCTAGTTTTTTTTTTTCCGCACCTATTTAGTGCATTTAGTATCCCTTGAATCCCATTTGATGGTTAGTATCCCTTTGATGGTTTTAACTAAAGGAATTTATCGGGATACTAAAGGTATACCCCTAATTTAATTAATGGATATTAATGGGATTAAAGCGATACTAATATGGTTAATCGCATTAATTCAATACTCACCTTTCGCCCAAGAGACATTCAGAGCTCTCCGGGCTTCCCATTGAATCCTTCCCCTGGCGAGAGAAATGTGCCAGAAATGGGAGGAATGAGATACCCAAGAAACCCACCCTTTAAAAGGTGTTGGGATAATATACAGTAATATTTAGGTTAAATGGAACATCAAATTCTGTACACATATATATCATATATATGTTTCGGTTGCTGAATTTGGGTGATTTTTCATGTGATTTCGACAGAAATTTAATGGCATTTTAATGGCATTTCTCATGTTATGAAGCGGCAAATCTACTGCTTCTCCAGAAATCCGGTAGAGAATCGTGGAGAATCGTGGCAGCGCCAGGAGCCATTGAAAGCACCATGTCGAATGACAGATCCGATTTTGCTGGTAGAATAGTTGGTAATCCAACTAGCAAACATCACTAAATATACATAGAGCTGCTGCATGTTTGGGATATAAAGTATAAACAATCAAAATAATTAAATCTGCAGTTGGATATACATCTTACATAGACAGGTTTCCCACTTTTCTATCTATCTCTGGGGATGTTTATCCAGGACATTTATTTCCAGGGGGCCCAGCAAGGCCCGCCTTTCTTGAGCAAGGCGAAGTTGATCCTGCAAAAACTCCAGGCTTTGGGATTATAGTGGGATTGCCACTTAAAATTAGCTAAGCATCAGAGAGGCTTAGCTAAGCAATAGTTTCATATAGTTTCTATCTTCATCTCAAGCTTGCTTCAAATGTGTTGAACATACCTTCTAAGTTGCTTCTAGTTGACTTCTTTTAGCCTAAACCTATGAATATATTATATTTATGTGCGGTCTGATCTTGGAACAAGGGTATGACAAAGGAAGGCAGGACTTCAGTATCTATCAACCAGGATTTCATGAATTCATCCTTTCAAAAACGGCATGGCTCACAAAAGGGGATACTAGTGGACTTACAGAGATTTATCATCTTCAGGACTTTAGGACCTTTTTTTTTGCATCTTGGTGGTGAGAATAATTCTTCAAGCCGTTCCCACTAGAAAGTCCATGGTTTTTCCATCTCTTTCCCAGAAAAAGCTGAAGAAACCAGCCTCCATCGCGAAGAAACCTGCACCAACGCTGGGATGCTGAGGCGATGAAGATCCGTGGTGAACCGCGGTGTGCTTTATCAAAGCAGCCTTCAAAAGTCAAGGCCTCAATAGGGAATCCAAAACGCGAGCAGCTGTTGCCTCTTAGCTATTTACACAAACAGTAAGACGAACCGGGCTAAAAACTTCGCCATATCCACAGTTTGCAGCTCAATCCCTACATGACCTTCATATTTTTTGTCTACGATCACCAGCAACCTTGCAGCCTAAAGGATGGATGCCTTCAATCTCTCCAACAACTGGTGGTATCAATTCCCAACAATCAAAAAATCGGTTGGGGAATCATAAGCCCAAACTTTGGTTGAACATAAAGTCTACCCAGTGATTTAACAGCTACGGAAGGTCACCGTTTTTGTTCAACGTTGGAGTGTTCAACCCCAAAGCTCCCACAATGGAGAAACCCGTCACTGGAACCCAGTCCCGCCTGGGGAAAACTCCCCACGTGTTGATGTCTTGAGCCAAATGATTGCAGACATCTGCAGACAGTCATATTCATTTGAGAGAATTGTGGAGCCACACATGAGGGACAAGGACATACATCATTGATATGTTCACTTATTTTTATTGACATTTTAATGTCAGTGCTATGTGATATCAAGTGATATCAAGTGATATCAAGTGATATCTATGTAAATACTTGATGGGATTTCATGGGATAGCATCCATTAATGGATGGGATATGATGATATGATGTCTGTTGGATCCTTTTGAACATCACTATTTATAGATTATTGTCCTATCAGCACCCCCCATTCATATAAGATGTTCCAGCTCATTTGCCAATAATACTTGAGTAAAAGCCTTCGACCTGTGGGTACGCCACACCGAACAATTCGAGCTCACTTGCAATTGTCAGTACTGAGACTGTTTGAACAAAAAAACAAATGTTTGCGTTCCCAATAGTGAGAAATATAGAACAGTTTGATTTATGATTACTTTGGTAGGACTTTACTTTTATATCTTTTTGGTGGCTGCATGTGGTTGCCACAATGTTTGGCATTTCTCTGAAAACCCGGGGACTCTACGTCTGCGGCCAGCGGCATCCCAGCAGTCCTTAGGTTCTGGCCATGGGCCACCAATAATGGCCCGCCATTGATAAACAGTATCACCAATACAAGATGAAGTATATTATTGTTGGTATATGATTGATAAATATAAATATGATATAATTGATAAAGTATATTATTGCCCAATACTAGTATACTATTGATAAAAAGTATCACTGTTGATAAAGTATTGCTAGTACAAAACCGTTTCCATTGATATTTATGGCATGTGTCGTGCCCTGAACATTAGTGAGATCGCTGAGGCTCATCTTTGCAGACGTTGATATATGGGAGGATCATGCTGCCTTTCCTGGCTTGGGTGAGGCGAAATCGATGGGTTTGCTGCTCTGCAAGCTGTGGTGTCTTCTATGGTCATGATCATGCTACATGTTGGTCATGTTGGTATATGTTGGTGGTTGTTCAGCATGAAGCACAACTCTCCATCAACAAGATGTTAAGTCAGAAGGATCAACATTCCTCATGATTCACCCATTTTGCATGGTGACTAGATCTTTTGAATCATCACTCTGGGTCACTCGACAGGATGATAGTCATAGGTGTAGAGCCACACGGGATTGGTGGAACACACTGTGGTCACTTGGGAAAAACCAGACTGGAGGACTCAAACAGGTGTTTTACTAAAACATCAATGTTTTGGTCAAATCAACCAATCAACCTGACTTAAGTCATAAAAGAACTAAGAACTGACCAACCTCAATGTTTCCTGGTTTATCATCATTTTCCCATCTCTTCCCTATGAACATGGCCATAACTGGAGGGCCCATGGGTCCATCCCGTCCCCCCCGAAAAATCACCGACCAACCGACCAAGAGACCTTGGTCTTGGCCAGCGACTTTCCGGCCGGGCGAAGGACTTGGGCAGCCGCCAATGGCCTCATAGCATTTGATTTTGGTAATAGGTATATACATTAAAAATAGAAAACCATATGACTATGACCTCTTACCATGATAGAAAATGGTGGATACCCAAAATGGATCAATCCATGGCTATTTTTTGATAGGGAATGATGAATGAACATGATCATAATCCTTTTGAATTGGGTACCCAAAATGATCCAACATGGTGATATCATGGAGAAACGAAATGGGGATTTGTTTGCGTACAAAAAAAAGGATGGTTTAACGAACAAGAATGGGATACACCAATACACACATTTCTGCTTGATTGAATGGAGCGTGTTGTGAAATGAAAGCAAGACAGTTGGATGGGGTCAAAATTTTGCCCGAAATTTGGATATCAAATCGTATCCCATCTCTTCCCAAAGCCGGCAAAAAAAAGCCTCAAGTAATCCAACCTGGGAATGAACGGAGTTTTCACTGCAACCTACCAGGGCCACAAAGAATTTAATGTGCGATGGTCATCCCAAGAATGACAGCTTGCTGGATTTTCTACGATGCGGACATAGGCACCTCAAATACGGTGAAACAACGGAGCAACATAATACCACTGAATAACTGAGGCATGGGGATGATCCACCGCAGGTTGTTAGCTTGGGGAACTATGCAGAAATGGTGGGGTATCATAGCTGTCATAGCTCAATCACGGAGAAACTTACTTTTGGTCATCTCACCTAAAGTGGAGGTTCCACAATGCTTGTTACATCGACATCGTTCAAAGCATACCGTATTCTACACATCAAAATTTCAGCACAAGAACACCCCTGCATTTGCGCAGTGCCCAACACCTTCGACTGCTTGCTGACTTTTCACCAAAGCGATGGAGCGGAGTTCGCTGGTGCCCGGAAAGGCCTAGCTGGGCCTAGCTGCCTGCTGTCTGGAACTTTGACCCATAGTGATGAAGCCTGCAAACTTCAACAAAATTGCAGTGTTTTTTGGGCAAACTGCAATAATAGGATATAATAATAATATAGTAGGTAACATAATGCAAAAATACAAAAACCGTTGGTTCGGATCATTTCTTCACTAACAACCTATCTTCTCGTGAGATCTTTTGAAGTGGTTTGAACTCGTCTTTCAAGCCATGCGTCAACGGAAAAAAATCAACCAACGACTCGGCTGTTGGCTGTTCTGCTGGTTCTCTCTGTAGGATGTGGAAGCCCCACGAAATTAGTATGTTATCAATGGCCATTTCAGGATCCTAAATTGGAGGTACCTACCATATATAAGGCCTATGTAATGGGAATATCCCATGACTCACTCCTAGTGATTGCAACACTTCGGGGTATCCTTTTATGGGGCTCCCATTGCATCAGCCATCCTCCTCTTGTCGAGGACCGCTGGAATTCAGTCGGAACTGGAGGAGTCGGAATCCTCCCAGACGGGCAGCTTGTGCTCCTTGCCCTTGTTGATTTGCCTCGGATCAGGTGGCTTCCCATGGGCCCATGGGGTTCTCCCCAGTTGGTACCCCAACACTTCAGCACCAGGGATGTTTGATATGCTCAGGATCAATTGACCACATCCCCTTGGCACCAGCAGTATGCAGCTGTTTGGGTCAAGTGCCAAGAAAAAAACGTCATCATTTGAGAATCTTGGCAGAAGAGACCTCCCTGGAAGCAACAATGAAAAAATATATGATCTATTTTCCCAAAGGACTGGCCAACACTTCGAGAAATGAATGGAACATCTACGATTGGAAACCAGATCTATATACTTAAATGTAAATTCTCCCTTCAACCAATCAATTAAAATATGTCTGGATGTTCATTTTGCTGGAACTTGGCAGCAGCTAGGTAAGACACCTAATCATCAATCCTGGATTGTATCTTGTTTGTCTTGGTGACATAAGCTGGTACGCAAGTGTGGTCTCAGAGGTTGTACTTATACACTTACGTGGCTGATAACAATGGTGAAACACCCAAAAAAACAATTGCCAAGATGTAATAATAGTCGAGAACCGAGACATCACATGCAAATTTGTCAATTATAATCATAGCCAGTCATTTAACATAGCCATGGGAAACGACACATACATAGATGATGTGCCTCAAGATAGTGATTTTCCAATAGCGATCTTAAACTCCATCTTAAATTAAAGGAGTGTATAAATTATACCTATATAGGGGTGCTCAAAGGGATAGAAGAGTCAAAATCTAGTCCTAACAGGAAGACACAATATTGCAAAACTTTTAGCTCTTTTCTATCTTTTTGGGAGGTTACTATAATCTCTTGTCACTATGGTTATAACATGTTGTCCGCAACCTTAACGTCGCCCAGACTCATCATTGTGACATAACAGAGACAATTCTGTGTTGATGGGAAGTTGCGAATCCAAGCAAGGCCAATCGGAAAATTAGGCCACGGTGGCATGTGAAAGATACCTTGAATACAGTTATCTTCATGCTCAAAACATATCACCTGATGGTCATGAGGGATCAAAATCCGCCACAGCCTATGACCAATATGCTGAACAGGCTAACAACACGCCACCCTCTATGGCCAATGTTGAATCTTGCAATTACATCAACATTATCTTCATGAGGGAACAAAATCCGCCAACCCCTATGACCAATATGCTGAACGGGCTAACAACATCAGCTTTATCTTCATGAGGGATCAAAATCCACCACCTCCTCAGAACAATATTTTGGTTGGGGAAATAACATCAACTTTAACATCATGAGGGATCAAAATTAGCCACCCCCTCTGAACAATACGTTGATTGCCGGACATCAACTCCGGGCAAACGTCCAGGTTGCAGCGAACATGTTTTATATTCATCAATAATCATCCCTAATAATCTACAATCATCTACTATCATCTACTATCATCTATAATAATCTTCTATCATCTCCTACCAGTCCTACCAGGTTATAACCAGCTGCTTCTTGGTCTTCTCCTCCGTTCTTTCAGCGGCTTTTATGATGTGCTCAAGACCTGAGTTGCCAGCCCAATGACTTGGTGGATATACCCCTCGCAACATCGAGGAAATCTGGATTTGCGCCTGCAAAGAATGAAGGTCTTTCAATAAACAGTATGGGCAATGAGACATGATTTGTCAGTTTTATATTTACACTAGTAGTGATTATGGTGTATATCTGATTGTTTAGCCACTAGAAATTGGATATCTCACTGTTTAGTGATGCAAATATGGAATCATGGCATCATTGGACGAGTATGAAACCAACAAGGGGGAAAGGAATCGGCAGGTATTGCGGAAAAAAAACATCTTTGGCAAACATATAGTAATTATTAGATATCTCTATATATAATATATATATATATATATATCAAAAATGAATAGATGTGTATGTTGCAAAGAACACCACACATCACACACACACACACACACACGTGCATATATAATTATGTACATATACAAATGCAACCCCTCAAAAAAAAAGATTCTAAGCATTTTAACATGCGCATGAAACCAACTGCTATCAAAGTGTCTCTTTAACAATACATCAAAACACTATGGGTTTTTCAATTATTCCACTGCATCGACTGCGTGGGCGATCAATAGCTATAGTCTGCAACCCGGCGATGGGCCACCAT